CCTGCTCCAGCCCCAGGAGCTGTCAGTGGTGTGTGAGGCAGGAATTAGGAGAGCCCTGTGCCTGCCAGGAGCTGTCAGTGCCCTGGGGCAGCTCAGCCCTGCAGCACCCAGCACCCCCAGGCAAGCAAAGAGCAGGGATTGATGCCCAGCTCCTCAGCTGGAGCCAGGCACAGCCAGGGCAGTGGTTTACTGCAGGTCACACCAAACCCCCTGAACTCGCAGCCTCCGAGGGTCCCTGCAGCTCAGACACCCCTCAGAGCCTCTGAAATCCCCCAGCTCCTCGCTGCTCTAATGAGATTATTGATGAATTGCTTAAAATGCACTTTCTCTAGAAGTTTTCTCGATGACAAGTTGCCTTTTAGTAAATAAATTATTGGGAAAGTTGAGTTCTCTCATTCCAGTCTGGGGAAAAGAAGTTTGGGGTTTGAAGTGCCCAGTTAGTGCAAACTGAAACGCAGCAGCTGAGCTGGGCTGGCACTGCAGCTGGTGTAAATGTGCCAGGGGGCCATTAGCACCTTGTGGTAGCGTCAGGCCAGGAATAGTCTCCCAGCAATTCATACTGCAGAGCTGTGGATGCCAAAGAGCAGCAGCAGCAGCTTCAGGCCCTGCCCAGGTCACGGGAGGGTCTCGGGGCAGGGGACAGAGCCCGGGCTCCGGCCGCCTCTGATGGACAGAGCTGAGGTTCCAGCCCCAGGGCACCGTTCCTGAAATAAATGGGCATTTATTCATAACAATTCCCAGCCCCAGGCCAGCCCAGCCAGGCCACAGAAATGTCCCCAGGTGCCCGATGTCCTGGAGGAGGGACCCAGGGAGGGACCCAGGGAGAGCTGCCGTGCCAGCAGTGCCAGCTCCTGCCCCGAGCCTCCAGCCCAGCAGGGCTCTCACAGGAGCTGTGCCAGTGAGGTTCTCCACGTCCCCACAAACCCTTCCTGCCCCAGGGCCTCCATCTTCCCTGCTGGTGCTTAAAGCACCTTCTCTGAAGTGCCAGTAATGGGATAACTCAGTCTGCGTGTGGGAGCAAAGCTCCCTGGCACACACTGCCAGCCAGACACTTATTATCCTACTCTGCCAATGCACAGGGGCTTTTTCTCCGTGCTCCAGGTCACTGAGGTCATGTCTGAGGCATGTGATTAATTTTCAGCCTTATTGTGTTAAGGGCCAGCAGGAGGAGAGTGAGATTCTTTTTTTTTTTTTTGAGCAGTGTGAAATGAGGTAGAAGAACTTGTCACTTAGCAAGAGCTTTGAAATGATCTTTGCATGAAGCAGCAGCTAAGAAATTAAGAGACATGAAGAGCAGTCTATTGATTTGAGGTGTTCTCAGGGGTTTTGCTGCGGGTGAAGGCAGGAGAAGGATTCTGCTGGGGATAAATAAATCAACCTTGTTCGTGGGGCTCTTGTTCAGCCCCTCATGCCAACCAGTTCTTGCATGGGGACAAGAAGTTCAGCTGAGAAAAAACGTGTTTTGAAATGTTTGTTTTTCCTCTTGGGTGTAAATTATTCTTAGCTGTTTTCCCTTTAAAGCTCTTTGTCTGTGACAAAAGTCTAAGGCAAGAGTCTGTGGCCTTTGTTGGTCACAGACTGACATCCAACGTAAAAATAAAGCCTCAATTGAAATAAATAATTTCTCTTTTCAACATTTGCTGCACCAAGCACCAGAACTCCTCAAAGATAACCACAGAAATCCTTAATACCAACTGATAGCAACCAGGGCCTTGTCTAGAGTCCACTTTTCGGATTTTCTCCAGAGCAGAGGGGCTCCAGCCCTCAGAGCATCTCCATGGGCTCCTGTGCACTCGCTCCAGCAGCTCCACAGGCTCTTTATGCAGCACAGATTACAGCAGAAGCTTGTTGGGTCCAGCCCAGTGCAGAGCTTTGACTGAACATTTTTCTCATATCCCTGAGAATTCACCTTTTACTGAATGCAGCTTTGAACAACCCCCAAACTTCTGTGTGTGCAGAGGGCAGGGAAACTGCCGGGGTTTGAAATGGAGTGTAAATCAGTTCTCATTTGCACCTGTAGCAGGAAGGGAACACATGAACCTGTCCCCAGCAGGGCAGAGGCTGAAGTTTGCTGGGGCTGATCTGCTGGAGAGGTGCAGAGCACTGAGGGTGAGAATTCAACCAGGCAGAGCTGCCCGAGCAGCTCTGCTCTGCCCCAGAGGCACCTTGGCATGGTGAGCTGAGCTGCCAGGCAGGGCAGGGTGCCCGTGGCCAGCCCAGAGTGTCTGTGGCCAGCCCAGGGTGTCTGGTGCCAGCCCAGGTGGCTGTGACCATCCCAGGAGCTGTCCCTGCAGCAGGCATCCCTGGCATCCCAGGGTGGCATCCCAGGAGCTGTCCCTGCAGTGGGCTCTGGCTCAGGTGGCTGTGACCCACCCAGGGTGGCTGTGACCATCCCAGGATGGCAGCAGCAGCAGCAGGGTGCCGTGGCCAGCCCAGGGTGTCTGTGGCCAGCCCAGGTGGCTGTGACCCACCCAGGGTGGCTGTGACCCACCCAGGGTGTCTGTGGCCAGCCCAGGGTGTCTGTGGCCAGCCCAGGTGGCTGTGACCCACCCAGGGTGGCTGTGACCATCCCAGGATGGCAGCAGCAGCAGCAGGGTGGCTTTGACCATCCCAGGGTGTCTGTGGCCAGCCCAGGGTGGTGCCCGGGGCCCGCCGGGGCTCGGGCTCTGAAGGAGGGGCCCCCTCTGTGTTTGTGCCCGCAGCTACGGGGACATGGTGCCCAAGACCATCGCGGGGAAGATCTTTGGCTCCATCTGCTCGCTCAGCGGGGTGCTGGTCATCGCCCTGCCCGTGCCCGTTATCGTCTCCAACTTCAGCCGCATCTACCACCAGAACCAGCGCGCCGACAAGCGCCGGGCGCAGAAGGTGAGTGAGTGACCCCTCCTGCCCACGGGCCACCTGCCACCCTGCCAGCCTGGCAGGCCTGCCCAGCCCCTGCACGCTCAGATAGACCCCCAAACCAGCCCCAAACCAGCCCCAAACCAGCCCCAAACCGTGGCCAAAAGCTGCCAATGCCCTGAGGCTCTGGGGAAGGGACACGGGACAGACAAACCCCCAGCCCCAAACACAGACAACACAAAGGAGGTGCCCAAACTCACACCCTGCAGCTGGCACTGATGGAAACTCGCTGTTTCCATCAGAACAAGGCAGGGACTGAGCTGCCAGTGCCCCCAAAACAAAACACACACCCCAAAGTGGAACAAAACATGGCACAGTGATTCCTGCTTGGCTTTCTCCAGGACTTGTGGTCTGAAACACCACTGCTGCCACATTTCAGCTGCAGAACCCCCACATGTGTTTTAATGCTCCAGTGGCATCCAGCTCTGAGCCATTTCACACCAGGTTAATGTGGAAACCTCACACACAGCTGGATGGACTCTTGTACAAAATGCTCCTGTTATATGTCACAAAATTACACCCAGGTGATAACTTAGCTGGCCCACCAGATTTGAGCTCTGGTTGACCCAAAGTCCAGCCAGGATAATTTCTACATCCTACCTTGGAAGCAGAATGTGCCCCATGAAAGCACCAGCTCAGCCCTCCCTCCTGCATGCGCTGTGCTGGAGTATTTTCAGATCAGGAGCAAAGGGCTGTCATTACTCACCTTCCCCATGTTCTTGTCTGGAGCAGATCGAGAGCTGTGTGCACATAAACCTGAAACCATCCCCAGGAGCTCTTTGTCCTCCTGGCTGCCTCGCTCCTTGTCTCTCTGCACTTTCAATCACATCGTCCAGCAACACGCACTTACCAGCTCACACACCCCTCAAAGTGGGACTGCAACACTGGGAATACACAAAAGCCCCTGGAAATGTGAAGGGATTACTGAATATTCCAAACTCTGAATGGTTTTTGCCAGTGGAAGCTCACTGAGTCACTAAGAGAGTGTAACAGATTTGCTAGATCTCTATTTCAATCTGCTGAATTACACCACAGCCAGAATCAGGTTTCTACAACAACTGCAAACCAAAGGCCTGAGGTTCTTTTTCTCCCTGTGGAATGCTGTCTGCCAGAAATTCAAGACTCAGGGGACCTGATGGAGAACAGTAGTAGAAAAATGTGTTATTTCTGCTTCAGGCAGGCATCTGGGCCGTGCCTACTTCTTGCATCTCAGGGAGCTGACAGCAGAGAGCTCAGATACAAGACCTACAAAACCACAAAATTTGGCAGTCAAAACACAAAAGGGGAGTAGCAGAGAGACAGAATTGTGCAGGAATCAGCTGCAGCTCTGCAAGTCACTGCTGGCTTGTACAAACCCTGCCTGAGGTTTGACAGGGCTCATGTGGGACAGGGGAGGTGCTTTGGAGGGGGGCTCTTGATCTGATCACACACAGCGCAGCAGAGACAAAGGAAGGTACAGGTAAAGGTAAAAGGACACAGGAGTGGCAAAGGCCACTCTGTGCCATGCTCTGCTCTCCAGCAGCTGGCACAGGGATCCAGGGTGATCAGGGATTTCACTCAGTGATTTTCAGCAGCAGCAGCTGGCACAGGGATCTGGGGTGATCAGGGATTTCACTCAGTGATTTTCAGCAGCAGCAGCTGGCACAGGGATCCAGGGTGATCAGTTCTGTCACTCAGTGATTTTCAGCAGCAGCAGCTGGCACAGGGATCCAGGGTGATCAGAGATTTCACTCGGTGATTTTCAGCAGCAGCAGCTGGCACAGGGATCCAGNGTGATTTTCAGCAGCAGCAGCTGGCACAGGGATCCAGGGTGATCAGAGATTTCACTCGGTGATTTTCAGCAGCAGCAGCTGGCACAGGGATCCAGGGTGCTTCCTTTCAGTGAATTTCAGATTTCAGGTGTTGCAGAGTGAGTTGTCTAAGTGAGGCTGCACCCAGGCACGAGGATTTGGGATTTCACCTGGCACAGGGACAGGGGAGGTGTCAAGGTGTGGGAAGGACAGGGAGGCTTGGGGAGAGGTTTTTGGGACAGTGCCCAACAGCCCATTTCAAGAACTGAAGACTGTGAAAGAAAGCTCCCCTTGTGCTGCAGCAGCACCAAAACAGAGACAGGAGCTGCTCCCCAGCCAGGCACGGAGCAATGGGCCAGCAAGAGCCTGGGGCACAGCCAGAGCTGCAGGGCTGTGCTCCTGGACAGGGCAGCCCCTCTCTCCAGGGGCAAACCCAGGTCTCTTCCTCCAGTTCAGCTTTTCCTTTTCTTCACTGGCCTGTGATCCACTTGGTAACAGGGAGAAGTGCCACCACCTTTGGTGCCAGTATGATGGAGTGCAGCTTTTATCAAGGTTTGCTGTATTGACACACGCAGTGTATAATTTCCCCCCATTTGAATTTCTAATTCCCTTGATATTGGTGGAATTTCTCAGTACAGAAACTTTTCTCAAGTCAGAAGTGTGAGTAATTTTCACATGATCAACACTTCATGAATACTAAAAAGCAGGGAAGAGAGAGAAGCACATTAATGACAGTCCCCCTGGAGCTGGCCAGGAGGTGCAGAGGGACATTGAGGATCTGCTTTGATGCCACACTTGTTCCAGCATCATCCCACCCTGAACTGAGTCCCGTCCTCAGAAACAGTTACAGCTCTGCCCCATCTCATTTGCTTCTTCAAGAAGGCTGGAAAAACCTCTTTGCTCTCTCAGACCTCAAATATGAAGAACCCACCAGCAGAAGCTCCTTATAAGAGAATTTAGGAGACAGCTGGGAAGCAGCACTCCAGGAGCTTCTCTTTGGACTGAAGAGCAATTTCCTGGGCGTGTGTTGGGATAAATGCTTTTGAAAGTTCTGTTTAGTTTGGGAATCATAACTTTCATGGTGTACAGGTAGATTTCAAAACAAGGCTACAGACCTTATAAATGTTTTTATATGAACCAGACTGAGATTTCCCAGTGCCCAAAGGCAGAAGTGCTGCACAGCACCAGGCTGCATTGGCGTTCCCAGGCTGGAAGGGTGGGTGTGAGAGAAGCTGGGCTCTCCAGCCCTGGGGCTTCTGAGGGGCTGCACTCCAAACCCAGAACGCAGCCCAGCCCCTCTGCTCTGCTCTGCTCAGTCCTGACTCTGCCTCTCACTGTGAGGGGGCTCTGGTCTAGCAGGAAGAGGTATTTAAGTAACGTGAATAAAATACCAGGAGGTGGCTGTTACTCATCAGCATCTATTCTTCAACTAACTGGGGAGAAATGTTCCTTAAAAAGAAAAAAACCCAGTAAAACACAAAGCCCAACTACCAGTGATCTAATTGCTTTAAAGATAAATTATTCTTTGCCAAACCTGTACTGTGAGACAATTAATTACCAGGAGATCTGGCAAATCTTAATTCATTGCGCCGTGGCATCAAATTCTGTCCCCTGGCGTGCAGCAAGGAGCAGGTCAGTGTGAATGGGAGATGAATTGATCATTTGTGACAAGGTTCATTCTGGTAAAATTGTTGTGTTTTTTTCCTTCCCAACGACTCTTTTTTCCCCCCCTTTTTTGACTGATGTGCTAAGAATAGACCTTCCTGACTTTGAAGCGATGCTGTTCTTCAGTGAATGTCACAGCCTTGGTTTTAAAAGAGAATGTGACACTTAAAAGGCTTGACAATAGAATGACTTTGTAATTCAGATGATGCTGGAGGAGCCCCTGTGCTGTGCTCAGTTTGCAGCACGGAGGAGAAGGAGACAGGAGCTCTGCTGGCTGGAGGACAACACCTCCCACTTGCCCACCCTGGCAAGAAAAGCAGAGGCAGCTGCTGGCAGCTCCGAAGGCTGCTCCTTTAGCAGCAGTGGGGAAGGGAGCAGCTCAGGGCTGGGAGCTGCAGAAGGGCTGGCACAGTCCCGGGGCACAGGGTCACTGTCCCAGGACAGCCACAGGGACACTGCAGGACACTGCAGGACAGGACGGGGCTGGGGGCTGGGGTGGCACGGGGCACAGGAGAGCCCCCAGGGCAAAATTCGGCGAGGCTGTTCTGGATCTCACTTGGGGGAAAGCAAAGGTTCAAAGGGTGGCCTTTGAAAATGGGCTACCCGCAGCATCAGCAAAAATGGAAATGCTCAGGTGCTGCGGGCAAAAAGAAAAACCCAGCCCTGCTTGGAGTGCATTTACCATGGAATAGCTGGATTTGCTCAATAGGCAGCTGGAAATCCCAGGGGGACTGGCATGGCCACAGGGCTGCGTTCCACGGGGGCTGAAGCTGCAGCACATCCAGACCCTGGGCAGCACAGCACTCGGCTCCAGTCTGCAGAAAATGTGCTTTTGACCACTGCAGCCTCTCAGGGTGCTCAATTCATTCCATTTATTACCTGGTGCCCTTTGCTCTGAGAACAAGCAGAGAGCTGCAAAAGCCTGGAGGCAGAGTTCTCATTCCATCCCACAGGCTGCAGGGAGAGAACCAAACCCCGAGTGAGGCAAGGCCAGGACTGCCAGGACAGAATAACCAGAATAATTCTGCAGAGCTGCCTCCACATCAGGCTCCAATATCGAGCTGCAAACTGCAGCCCAGGCTGGGAGAGCAGAGGGAGCAGAGGGGCTGGGCAGGGAGGTGCACCCTGAGTCTGAGGGAAGGAAAGCACCAAACTGGGCTCCAGGGGAAGGAAAGCACCAAAATGAGCTCCAGCAGCAGCAGGGATGCTGGGCAGGGAGGAAGGGACCGAGGGAGCTCTTCCATCCCCTCGGGAGAGGCTGGCACGCAGGCAGCTGAGGAACAGGAGCTATGGAGATGCCTAAAAGGGGCTCCAGCCACAAGGGAGGCAGAGCAGGACACAAATGTCTGGCTGCTCCTCGGGAGGATGGAGGAACAGGCTGTTCCAGCCTCGGGAAGCTGCAGCAGAGCTCAGGATGGGGAGCTGGGAATGCTCAGTGCTGGCTTTGTGTCATCCCTACCCGTGAGAAAGGCAGCCCACACACCTGCCAATACCAGGCCATGGTGATCATTG